GGACTGCAAAAGAAATGAAGTAGGAGAGTCCAGATTCCTGAGAGAGAAGCAGAGACACAGCCTGGTTCATTCAGACTGGACCAGTCCAATCCCCAGGCCCAGGTACAAACCCAGGTCTCATGGCTACATGTTCAAGGGCATGTTCCTGACACCACAGTCCCACTTCCAGTGCCTCTCGTCATCTATTTGAGCCACAAGTCAAGTAATTTTATCTGCATTTTACCAATTCTGGAGGAAATGGACTAACAAGAGGCCTTCACTAAAGTTATTATACCTACTTACTGATAAAAGTTGGAGTAATACTTGAATCTATCAGTATTTCAAATTTCTACCCCCAAAACATTGATTCATATGATTATTTGGATCTTTTTCTTTATTCATTTACCATGTTTCATTATAATTATACTAATCTTACTATCTGGAGATTTTTTTTTTTCCATTTCTGTCAGGTCTACAGTCCTCCGCTCTACCAGCTGAGCTGTTGAAGGGTGCACTTTTTTTCCATTTCTAGTAGAAATTTGTCAGAATAAAATTTTGAAATTTTAAATTGGAATTTAACGTCTTTATTTTGAAAATCATCAAAATCCACGACCTAGGGCCAGAGATTTAGCTCAGTGATGCTGTACCTGCCTTGTAAGCACAAGGTCCTGAGCTCAATCCCCAGTACCGGGGGGGGGAATCCATGACCTAGGACACTGAGAAAATAGGTATTTGTTTTCCTGGACTTTTAAATTTGCTTTTCAAATGAGCGGATATAAAGAGGCTTTTAAGTAGACCTTTTAAAATTAAATATCTATCAAAGATTTCATCAAGTAAATATGACCTTTTAATTTTTTTTTTTAAAGATAATTCCATCAACAGGCAGCAAGTTGAAACGACCAACACCAACTTTCCATTCTAGCCGAACATCCCTTGCTGGTGATACCAGCAATAGTTCTTCCCCAGCCTCCACAGGTGCCAAAACTAATCGAGCAGGTAAGTCCCATGAAGTCTGCATTGGGTCGAGGGGCAAGGGGAGGAGCCAGTAATGAAAACAGCACTCAGTGCGATGCCTGAAGAGACCTGCGGTTCAAGAGACCTTTGCTGCTTCTCCTATCGCTACAACCAGCTCTAGCTTTGCCTTTTGAGAGCAGGTGCTTTGATACATAAAGCTAGGCCACCTGTCCTTGGCATCACAGTTAAAAAGTATGAAAGTAAGAAGGGCCAGAGTTGGGCAGGCAGTTTGCTAGGATTTCTTATGGCTGGTGGTGAACTCAGAAAGTAATGGAAAGATTCCGTCTTCTTACCACCTACATTAGGTGCTTTGGCATCTCTCCCGGCTGTGTTTCCCTTCCTTTGTCTCCATTCTCCACCTGCTCGCATATTACCTACTCACCTGCTCATCCACTGGTGCTGGGGCGATTGTGCAGCCCCACCTGACTGCTTTGGGGGCTTGGAACATCACAGTGCTGCTGACTGAATCTGCTTTCCACTCTGAGAAGCAAGTTTCTCAAGCAGACTCGCAGGCCAGGAAAGGCTCAGTGACTGATGGGTGGATGTGGAAACCAGGGTTCAGAAAAGCTGTGATTTGCCCAAGGCGACACAGCAAATTGGGTAGTGTTAGGATCAGCATCCTGAACTCTAGTCACTTCTGCTGCCCCCATATTGTCTCTGTTATAATCTATTATATCATCTGCTCTTTTCTTGAATTGCAGACCCTAAAAAGTCAGCCAGTCGCCCTGGAAGCCGGGCTGGGAGTAGAGCCGGGAGTCGTGCCAGCAGCCGGCGAGGAAGTGATGCCTCTGACTTTGACCTTTTAGAGACGCAGTCGGCCTGTTCAGACACCTCAGAGAGCAGCGCTGCTGGTGGCCAGGGCAGCTCCAGGAGAGGGCTAACCAAACCTTCCAAAATCCCAACCATGTCTAAGAAGACCACCACTGCCTCCCCCAGGACTCCAGGTCCCAAGCGATAACACTGTACAAGCACCCCATGCCACTACCCACTTTGAATCCTGCTCCATACATTGGATGTATATTTATTCTGAATGGGAGAGGTTATATTGTTAAAAGTGTAAAAGAATTAATTGTGTTATGAAGCTGCCTTATTTTTTTTTCTTTTTGTAAGTTACTATTTCCATGTGAATATTTATGTAGATAAAATTTGCCTCCTGGTAACCCTGTCATAGATGGGGCCCAGAAATGAAATATTTGAGGAAAACAAATGAAAAGGTCAAAATGCGAATATGTATTAAAAAAAGAAAAGCCTCTAAATAGGGTTTCTGTGTGGTGCAGGGTTGTAAACCTGCTTTATCTTTTAGGATTATGCCTAAATTCATCTTCTTTATAAACTTGACTTGCTGTCTCAGCAAGATAAATTATATTAAAAAAACAAATAAGAATCCTGCAGTGTTTAAGGAACTCTTTTTGTAAATCACAGACACCTCAATTAGCAAGAACGGAGGGGGGAAGGCACTCAGTTGTGTTTCCATTGTTTTAATGTTGTGTGATTTTAGCCGAAGAGAGGGAACCTCATCTAGGTAGCATTTACACACGGTACAGCAAAGGAGTTCATTGCAATGCTGTCTTGGAATACTGTCTCAGTACTGGGTGTGTGAAGGACACATAGCTACTAGAATTCAGGGGTAAATGTAACTGTTCAGAAAATGTCAGAACATTGGGGTTTTAAACTGATTTGTATCTATCCAGCCTTGCCACCAGTAGCTCCTGTGCTCACCAGGCCCCAGACCTTTGGTGAGGGAGACTCCTTGGTGGTGTTGTGGATTACAAATTTGTTTATCTGCATTTTTGCTATTTATTTAAATGGTCCATCAACTTCCCACAGAGGAACGAATTCCACAAGCCTATTCTGAAAATGTGGACCTAAGACAAATACTCGCTCATCCTTGAATGGCGCTCACCAGCACACTTGTTCACCAGTCCTGTTTGCTTCCGTCTTTTTTGTGCGTAATAAAGTCGACTGACCCAGTGACCACAAAGGGGCTGTCTGGGGCTCCTGTTTTTTAGCTGCTGTTTCTCTTCAGCTCCGACCATGTTGCTGTGTGATTATCTCAATTGGTTTTAATTGAGGCAGAAACTGAAGCTCTACCAATGAACTGTTTAAAACAAGACACACTTTTATATTAAAATTGCTTGCAGTAACAAATGTTTTTGTAATTCCTGATTTTCTTCTCAACTCTTACCTAATATTTAAATGTCATCCAGGGTCTGATGGGGTTGTAGGTATTCAGACACACCATGCAAATCAAGCTATTATGGATAAATTATAGAGCTCATGGATTGTTAAAAAAAAATTTTAGGGCTGGGGATTTAGCTCAGTGGTTTCGCTGCCTGCTGTGCAGGCACAAGGACCCAAGTTTAATCCCCGGTACCAAAAAAAAAAAAAAAATTTTATCCTTATTTATTTCACAAGGCAGCAAACATATTGTTAACACAAATATGTGGAGTATCTGTTCTACTTACATAATTAAACACTAGCCTGTAAGATGTTTATATTAGAAATCACAAAATCCTGGGGTTTGAGAGATTGGGACCAGTTTCTCAGTATGCTGAAATTTGTTTAAATGATAAAATTTCGGAGGTGAAAAGCAAAACGGCTCATCCTGTTACCACACAAAAGCCTTGTTGAGTGCTGCTGGCCACTCAACAAAGACAGGTGAATCAAGAGGCAAGGCAGTGGCAGAGAAAGAACTTATATTAAGTGAGCTGGTCAGAGATTACTGTTGGGGTCCTCACCCAGAAGCTGACAGGCACAGTTTATATGGGAGAGGGGTGGTCCAGACCAGTGGGCACCTGCTCGAAAGTGGTGTTTGGCCAAACTATAGATCCAATCCTAACTGCCTAGTCAGGTGACCCTTATTTTCCCTGGTTGTTCTTTTTACCCACATGAAGTTGGCGACATACTACACAAGTGAACAGGCCAGCGCAGGTATCTGCCCCAAGGACATCCTGTGGATCACATGAAAACATGCTTCACCTGATTATTGTAGAAGACAGTGGTAAACTCAAATAGGTAGTGGGTATAAGATCTAGTCAGTGCTCGTGAGAGAAAAATGGATTTTGAGAAAGTGATTTCCCTGACATCACAAAATAAATGACACAGGTGGTGGGTTCTCTCAGCCCAGAAATACAAGGCAGAGAGATGAGTAGACATATTTATTGTAGCACAAAAGCAGAAAGCTGCGTTTATTGTAAAGTGAAAGCAAATAGCCCCTAGGCAAATGAACCTGGGAGGGGCCCCAAAAAGGATTGCCAAAGGGATTCTGGGGATTTATACACAAACAACTGCATTTCAGCCAAGTTGAGATTAACCTATGGGGTTACAAACAGGAAAGTTTGAGTTAGAAGTGAGCCTATAGGAACTCAGTGTATGTAGCAGGTCTTTATAGAGAGGGGTATGAATATCTTGTTGCTGGGCAAGAAAATCTCACTAATCCATGAGGTCTGCATGTGTTGAGCCTCCAGTGCCCTGGCCTGGCCATCATCCTTCACTGAATCGTCCTGACTCCCTTGAGCTTGGCCCTTCCCTGGCTGCCTGTCTGTGGGCCTCCCTTCGCCAGAACACTTCCCACACGGCTTCCCTCTTGGCTCAGTATCCCTGTGAGGAATCTCACTCTCCCACAGAGCCCTGCTCATCCTCAGCATTTTCCAACATATATTTTACTGAAGCTGGTTGACCAGATTACAGTTGAGAGCCTCTTGTTAAGAAAATGACACCCAAACCTTAGAAAACAGGACCTAAGCCCAACCATGCCAGTGTGGAGGGCTCTCCCAAGTCACATTATCTCCCTGCTTTTGTCTTCCTATTCATATCTGGCACTTCCTGTTTCTTCTACCCCTTACTTGATTTTGTAGTGTGTAAAACAACCAAATATTAACTGATTCTAATAGGGAAAAGGCTAGAGAATGTGAGAAAGGGAGCACAAATGCAGGACATCTATATTCTTTGTCATTGGGTCTTTTTTTTTTTTTTTTTTTTTTGAGATAGGATCTCACTGTGGTCCTCTTGCCTCAGCCTCCTGAGTGCTAAGATTACATGCATGTGCCAACTTGTCTGGTTTCAGGTCATACTCCTTAAAATACTAGAATTTGGCAAAATATCAATGAATAGGCAAAACTTAGGTCACTTGCTCAAATTAAAGGGAGTGTGCAGCCTGTGAAGAGTCAGGCTTCTCTTGCCTGTGGAATTGGGTAACTTCAAGCTGAGAGAATTTAGTGTGGAACAGTGTTTTCATCCGAATAGCTTCCACCTCTAGGCCACCTGGGAGCAGAAGCATGCTGGAACCAGTTTGACCTCCATCTTGCAGGAACTTTTTTTTTTCCTTACAGGTTTTCTCTGAGTCTTCCTGCCAAAGCTCAGCTGGTGGGAGCACCCACAGAAAGCATTTCCACTCATCAAGCTCCTGTGTGCAAGACCATGTAGAAACACACCATTAAAGGGTTAAAATACACTTCTGAGAAACAAGGAAAGACAAATTTGGCAACTTGAATGATGTGATGACGATAGCTGATGTTCATGGAGGGCTTGCGACAGGGCAGCGATTATGCTAAGCTGTCTATGTTCATTCTCATTTAATACCCGCCCCATTCCCGTGATCTCCAGTCTCCTTTTATGGGTGGGGAACAGCCTGAGACGGACTAACTTGCCAAGGACACAGAGTCACCAGGTGCCAGGGGAAAGCCCTTGTTTTGACACTACTTCCTCTGAGAAACCCCACCTCCGTTCCCTCCCAGTTCCGGGGTTCCTCTCACACTGCCCTCCCCCCTCCCCCGGTCCTGCTCTGCCCTACCAGGCACTTTGTCGCTCCTCTGGGAGCACAGCTTTCATTCTGCAGGGGGAAGTGCCCAAGTTCAGGATGATCGTCCCTGTTAAAGTGAGGACTGCTCAAGGGTCGGGTCTTGTCTGCCTCATTTCGGCTGAGGGCCCAGCACGGAGCAGCGCACCCTGGTGGTTCCTGAATAGAATTGCGGACCGGGCTGCTATTTAGAGTTACAGGCGCGTGAAGCCCTTTGGAGAGCTCACAGCCATCTACCCTCACCTTAAACTGAGAAATGCCTTCTGTCTAAAGAGTCAGCCCCAACGCAGGGCTGCTTGCAGTCTAACTGGGAGCCCAGCACTGCACAAAACACAGCCCGGAATTACAGGCTGCAAAGCAGGATCCAAATGCTGTGTGTGCTGTGGACCCGGGGGAGCCAAGAGGGTGGCCAGGGTGCAGAGAGGACAGTGAAGGGGGTGCGGGAGGAGGCTCAGCTCCTGACCAAGCTACGTGGGCAAGCCCTGGACTCTGCCCTCTGCCCCACTCACCACGCCCTGTAGATTCAGCCTCCTAAACAGCGTTCTTCTCTGCCCTCTGGCCCTTCCCAACCAGAAGCTGACTGTCAGCCTCTCCCTCCATCTTCATTCCTGTACCTGCTGCCGAGTCCAGACCCAGACTCTGGTCTCCGTCCCTCCAATCCACACTGCACTCTGCATCCTGGCTCTCATCTTCCCTCGGTCACTTTCCATGGCTGACCTGCATTATCCTTATAGGTTAAAACCCATGTCCCTGCGGGGCTTGCAGACCACATAGAAATTTACCTGATGGGTAAAAGATAAGGCAGGCATGTGTTTAAAGCACCAGCAGAGTGTTATAGTAAGAATTTAGTTGATATTTAAAAATTTGAAGTGATTACTACATTAAAATGTGATTTGGGGATGGGCAACACACCCTAATGTGCAGTGATGTAAACTCAAATCCACAAGGGAAACACCACAATTGCCCAGGGCCCCTTGTGGCCACCCCCATGGCCCTTGTGACCCCTCTGTGCCGTCCTCCCAGCCTGTGTTTGTCCCAGCTCCCCAGTCTCTGCTGAACATCTAACCTGCAGGTGCCACCTGCCCCAGCCCAGCTCCACTGACGTGACGTGTGACCTGCGATAAGGCCCCAAGCCTCTGTGTGCCTCCGTTTCATCTGTTAAAAAGAGGGGGCTCCAGTAGTGTGAATCCCATAATGATGTGTGAACAAGAAGGAACAAACACAGGACATGCCTGGCACGCGGCAAGTGCCATTATGATGCTTCCCAGAGTCTTGGAGCCTGGACACAAGCTACTCCCTCTGCAGGAGCACTCTGCTCCCACTGACTGCTGTGAACCCAGGGCAAGTCCATCGAGCCTTTGGAGCTCAGGCTAGGTGCCACTCCCTCCCCTACAAATCAATGCTCAGAGAGAGCCGCTAGGGGACGGAAGGTGCGCAGAGAGGCCCCTTCTCTTCCACACCGCGGACAACTGAGAGGACGCACGAAAGTGGCTCCTGGGTGCTCCAGGAGGGCCTCCAGAGCTGCGGGCCGTGCTGGAGGTGGAGGCGAGTGGATCAGCAGCGGAGTGCACAGCAGGGACCAGCGGGGGCGACAGCCCGAGCGCGCGGGAGTAGGGTGAGTGGGAGCCCCGGGAGAGGCGACAGAGATCAGGAGCCATCGCAGCGGCGCACGGGGACCGCCGAAGGCGCCTGGCGAAGGCGAGGAGCTGCGGTGGCCAGGACCCCAGGGCCCGCAGCTTCCTGCCGATGAATGCGCCCAGCCTCAGGCCAGCGTGGGCACCGGTGCGAAGCCTCCAGAGGGACTGGGGTGCGTGTGGAGCCGGGTGGTACTACCAGCGGGTGACAAAGGCCACACCCGCGGGAGCACAGGTTCCCGCTTTCCCAGAACCGCGTGGGGACGCTGGGTCTCCGAGGCGAGGCCAAAGCTGTGGCCAGCGGAGGGGTGGGGAGCCCAGCAGTCCTGACCACTCCGACGCCTGAACTGCGCGGGGCACCCATCCCCACCCCACCCCGGGCCGCACCCCGGGGCTCCTTCGTCCTTTAGGGGGCGTCGGCTCAGCCCTGGACCCGCCCCCGAGCCCCCATTGGTCCGGCCACCGAGGGCGGTGCAGACAGCGGGCTCGGCTGAGGCTCCTCGCGGGTCCGCCTTGCGAACGCCACCGAGCTCGCCAGCCGCGAAAGCCGCTGCCCGGACTCGGCCTCCGCAGGACTTGCGGCCCGGCAGGGACAGGCAGGTCAGCCGGTCGTCCTCAGGCCCCGCCGTACACCCCGTCCCGCGGCAGTGCCGGCCTCGTCAGCCGTCGGGAGCCCCGACAGGTGCCGCGCGGGGGAGCCGTGGGGATCCCGCCGCGACCCCAGGCGACGCCC